GTCCGCAGTGTTTTCCAGTGGTGGGCTGTAAAGGCCCAGCTTAAGTCTAAAGTGAGCCAGTATTAGTATCTAGCTGCCTGTGCCCGCATCTCCTTGCTGCTGCTTCTACATGTTGCCTGGCTGGGATGTGACACAGGCAGAACTTACAGCTGCCTAGCCTCCCAGATGCCCACATAACAGGCATAGTTCCCTGTTGCCAAACACTGCTAGAGCCCCAGCTCCATGGACTAGATCTAACGCTTGGACTATAGGCTGCCAACCCCTAAATTAAGGTGTAATGGGGGCCCATAGCTCTTTAAAAACTGCTTTTAACTGTTAAATAATTATGCAGAACTGTAACAAACTGTCCCCCTGCCTCTTCCTCCCCTTTTACCATCAAGGCACAACCAAAGGGCATGTTCCTCAGGTTTGAGAGAGACAGATCTGCTTTCAGTCCTGAGATGACAAACTGCATGTGGGGAATAACAGGAGAGAAGTGGCTAACGTTAGAATGCATTTTTCTCATTGGTACTTAAAGCCACGTAGAAGATTTGAATTAAGACATCTGGCAAGATTTCTATCTTGTCTCGTACTTTTTAATAATTTCTAGTTTTCTTTCCCAAAGTTTTCTTTTCTTTTTTTCTGCCACTCTCCCCCCACATTAAAGTAGTAGGGTTGGAGTGTTGTAATCATGATGGTCCAGGAAATGTCTAAGAGGAAAGGATTTTATGTGCAGATTATTTTTTATTGGAACAAGGGTATGGTTGGAAGAGCTGTTGGACAAGCATTTGGTTATCAAGTGCCCTTTTCCAGGTCTGAGAGAAGCAGACATAGGCAGAGCTAAATATCAGAGAAAAGAGTTGGGAATATTTCCTTCAGAGTTTGATCTTTTTTAATATAGGCTGCAATTGTTTGATGATCCTTCTTGCAGGTTCTAGTGTGCTATGACATGTAATAATTCAGGGAGTATGATACGTGAGGGGTTTTCTTTTTGTATTGTATTAGATAATTGCAGGGTATTTGTGTCTCATTTAGAGATGAGTCTGTTTCTTTGCTAGAGTATCCTTGCCAGGTAAAGGTACTTTTCAGATTGGCAAAGTGGGTGTTACGAATGCTCTCCTCAGAGCAGATGCAATGGTATATGTGTAGATTACGACTTTTTTGGTGCATCCAGGATGGGGTTTGGTTTGTGAATATACATTTAGTAATCCATGGGTTTTCTGTATATATTGTTGTTTATAGGGTGACATGCCAGATGTGGATTGTGGTGCTCAGAAAATTGAGGGAAAAATATTTCTAATTCCCCCACTCCTGGCTTTCAGGCAATCCCCAAGCCTGGCTTAACTCATCATCAGAAGCAAACATTTCTCTGATCAATATACTTAAAATGGGATACTACCCTACCTCAATAATAAATGCAAAACCTGTCAACACATATCCAGCACCACTGCAGTGAAATTCTTCCTGCCAGATGCCCTCAAGGAAATTATGCAGATGAAATTAGGAGCTACATATCAGGATGGATTCCTACAGAAAACATAACAAGGACAGAGATACACAAACACTTATATGAGTACAATATTCCTAGAATGACCGCTCCTTCTGTAATTCACAATTCGTTCTGTTTTAAACCACTGGATACAAGATTAGGCATCTAGACAACATAATTTAGTTTCTCAGTTCTCTGGGTGAAAACTTCAACTGGAGCCACATTTTTCTGAAAATCAAAATGTTAGAAAGCTGGCTGCTGCCATTTGATAGTGATTAATGAGTTAAACACTATTTCCAGGACTATATTCCTAGTGGGCGCGTCCACACATGCAAGCATGTGTGCTTGCAGCAGCTCAAGTAAAAGTGGTGCAAATTTGAGCCAGGGCTTTTTGCCTCAGCGTGTTTGGACATGCACTTTGTTGTGTAGCAAATTGTGCCACTTGAGGCAAAATAGCCCTGCCTGGCTGCTCCCAGATCTGCACCCAGGGCGAGCTAGAGCCTGGGGCCAGCACCTGTGCTGTCCCCAGCAGTATAAAAAGCTGCCCTGTCCTGGCCCTATCCATAGAAATAGCTGCCCTGGCAAGTAGCTCGGGGCTACTCTGTCTCAGGAGCTTCTGGGGACACTACCCCTTGTGCCAGCTGGACTGCTGAAGCAGCCCTCAGAGTTCCCTGCACCCTCTACTCACTACAGCAGTCTGGCAGTGGGGGCTGCTGCCTGGCTGTGACCTGCTGTACACGTGCCAGACCTGGATGGGGACTGCATGGCCAGTAAAGACATCTGCCCCTCTGGGCCAGCTGCCAGTGGACTGTGGTTG